CATGCAGAAGCATGGCAGAGCAGCATGGGATATTGCTTGGTAATCTGAAAGAATGAACATGGAAAACCATTTGTGTTCAACCTACATGTGTTTATTTTCGGTAGACTACAGTACTTCTTTCTTATTTTTCTCTTTTATTCTCTTTTTTTTATCTGTAATTGTGCTGAAATATATTTTGGGGACGTTTTCCCACTCTTTCTTTACTTCATATTCTGGTTTCGTTGTGGCTTCTTTCATGTTTTCTCATTTTCTCGATCACCTTGTGTTGCTCTCTCTTTTTACACATTCATTTGCATGTCCGTCTCCCCTTCTGCTTTCTTTTCCCTCCTCCCAAACTTCTTCCTTTTCACAGCATTGGAACACGGGAGATAGTCACCCAGAAGAACTTGAGTGGCTTGGTGCCCATCCGAGATTTCAGACTAGATCCCAGCCTCCTCTACTCTATTCCTTTACTAGCTCTCAGCCCCAATTTACTGATTGTGTGGCTGTTTCTGAGCATAGCATACCTGGTGGCCAGATTACGTTGCAAATGAAGACAGTGTTTAAAAAGAAAATATATATATATATATAAAAAGTTCTTGAACGTCTATTGCCACTTGGTACCTGCTGGACAAAGGAATGTGTCATAGCATTGTCTGCCAAGAATTATTATTATGCCTTACGATTTTACGTTTCTATTGTACTAAACTGTAAATATACATCAAATTATTTTATCAAAAAGAATTGTATTGAAACTTTAAATTATTGTTCTGCTTTCAGTGCTTGTAACATAGTCTGACATTGGCCTGTTACCTCGTTACTTTAGCCGGCCTGAAGATCTCTTACCAAATACAATTTTGTGTTACTTGTTTCATGTATTCCAGAGAAAGGAACTGTGAAAAGAATTTGTATCTTTTTGTATATTGAAGTGTATGCTAATCTTGCCTTTCATTTTTACAAGGTACGAAGAGAAAAATAAAAACGTGGGTGGGGTTTATAAGAAATTATAAGAAATTTATTTAAGCAAATTAACTAATTTCTACTTCATTTCGAAGCATAATCTCCAAATCCCAGTCCTAAGCAGTTTGTAGACCCATAGTGGTGTTCCTTTTTCATGATTCAGTACATTTCAGTGGAAGAGTGCACCACTCAAAGCCACCTTGCGGTGCGCTGCATGCAGAATTACTTCATTCTATTTGTAGATCTGCACTTTGTATTGTATCAAAGACACAGGAAGAGTATGTAATTAGTGTAGCCTGCTAACGATCCATTCTCCATTCCAGGTGCTCTGTTATATAACTTACTCTGAAACAGTCTAATTACTGTCCTGGAAGTTAAAGATATTCATCTTTAATATTTCAGGAAGGAAAAGGGATGTATCAGCTCCATTAGTGGCTGGGTTGGAGGTTTTCCATTGGGCTTTGTGCTAACGATGCTGTGTTCAATATTACTCTTATTTTCAAATGTTGAGGAGCTTTAACAAATTTGTGAGTTGAGCAACAGTGACTTAGAGACAGACAAATGGAGACACTGAGTTAATATTTAAGTGGCAAGACTCAAGAAGCTTCTCTTGTTTAATCACGCAAAATAACTGCAGAAGATATTTGATTGTCATTTATATACGACATCAAAGTGGGAAAGGCCTATTTAAGCTGAAGTAGTAGCAATGGAAAAGTTTATCAATAGCAATAGCTGATCAAAAACACTAACTTAATTTAAAATAGTTCACTAAATTCATGAAGGGATTTCTTGGTGCTGAGATGATGGAAGATAAGGCTTGGCAACTGAGGAGGACTCTTCTAGTTCTGTGATTTGTAATTTGTACCATTATCACAGTTACTGGCTCAAAAACATAGGTATTCATAGATTTTATTATTTTAGTTTTATTAGTATTTATCAATTTTAATGGATTTTGAAAGTTTCTAGAGGTAAACTAATTGAAAAAGTGCACTTAGTATAAACATTAGAATAAAATACTAAATTTGGTGAATATTCCATTTTTTCTTCTAACTTCTAATATAAGAATGCATGATTAAATGTGTTTCTTCAGCAGATCTGATTGTACAGTACACTATCTCCTGGTATTTTCTCAGCATTCTTCCAATTTTTCTCTTTTTTTTAAAAAAGATGACTAAAACTAATATATGTACTTAAGAATTTATGCTATTTATTTTTAGATGGAATGAATTTACGTAAGGACTTGTTGCTCATGAGATTTTAAATCGTGATGTGACACTGTTGGACATATTCATGTCCCATGTTGGTATTGAGTACCACCGAGTCTCTGTGCAGATCTTCATCCTTTCTGTTGGGAGCACCAATTCATTTGCTGTGGTACCAAAACCTCTCTTTTTGCTAGGCCAAGGAATGTCACGTTGGCCTTGGGCCTTGTTCTTGCCATGTGTCGAGTGTGGTGGGTTCATACTAACGAGATGCAAAAGTCACTTTAGCAGGAGTTTTTCCACAGAACTCCCCAAGATTATTAATAATTAATTAATGCTTTAAGTAAGCTGTGAGGACTCTCCTGGAGTGAGGCAACATTAGGCAAGATTAAGCCTGCAATAAGAAGCCTCATAACTTTGTGTAGAATGAAAGTCTAGGCTTTCTGAAAGCAACATGTTTGTTTTTTTCCCTCCTTTTAACTTTAGTGGGGGTGAGATTTCGTTCTTTTCTGAGCCTGGTCTGCGCTGTCATGACACGTTCAGATTTGAAACGCTGTAGTGCCTCAGACCGAGGATATTTGTTCTTTGAACAAATGTTCTGTTAGACTCAGGATGAGTTCTTAAAGTGGATCCTCGGTCGTCCCGTAGCAGCAATGAAATCGGTTATGTTTGCGGACGCAAAGTGCTTCCTAGGGGTGGTCAGTGCCTTAGCAGGACCCAAACCTTTGCTCAGGTCCCTGTGCCGGGAGCTGGCTGGTGTGTCGTTGCGGTGGCGGTGCGATAAGCACAGGCACTGTGAGCTGGCACAGCAGCTGCACGAGATACCACGTCTTGACCCTTTGAGAAATGGCTGGTAACTTTGTGAGAATGTGGAACGTTCTGTGTGTGTAATTGAGCTGAGTAATTTTGGGTAGGAAATCCTACCTTCTTTTAATTGAATACTGATAAGTCCTATAATCAATCTTTGCTATATTCTTTAGCATTCAGTCATATTTTAATTAATCATTATTTATGTTAGGAAAATTGTGGTTACGTGTTGGTAACTGGTTGTATTTAAGATTATATTAAGTGTATTTAAGATTATATTAAAGATTGAATTTGAATCTCTCGAAGGAAGGAAGCTTTGGTACATTTGAGACCACATGGTATTGCTGGACATGCTCCTTATATCCAGGCTATGCTAGTGGTCACAAGAGGATTCTGAGGTTAAAGAGAAGGATCCTCATTCCCAGTCTAACACTAGACTTCCAGAGAGTGGCTCATGTGCTCAGGGGCTGTAACTTGACACAGGGCTCCTTCACAGCGGTGACAGACACAGCACATGAAATGCTGTGTGAAATGCAGCTTTCTGACCTGCTTGGTGGCCTGCCCAGGCATGGGCAATAACCAGGTACAGCTGAATGAGTTATGAGCAGGGTGACTCGCTTTGGATTGGATATGCACACTTGGCACCACAGATTTGTTATTCAAACTTCATGTTCCTATTGCTAGTCTGAAACAGAATATGTGCAATTTTGTGATGAATCTATTTGACTGCAATAGCTTTTGTGAAGGTGTTTCTCTAAAACTCAGAACTATGTCATAAAATTAGTGTAATAGTGTAGGATCCAGTCCATAAAAGACAGTCACAGAACATGTTACAGAGACAATTTCAAACTTAACTTGTTAAAAAAAAAAAAGTTGCAATATTTTATAAAGCTAAGCTAGATGGTACATATATAGTGCAGTTACAGTAATTAACCAAAATCTTTTTAAAATGGCAAGTATCAGTGAAAGCAGGAAGATTTCAAACAGAATGGGAATCCAAAGCCTTCTTTTGAATTAGTTTATCACAGTTTACCTCTGATACTTGCTGCAGAACCTAAAGAGGGAAATAACATGACATTCCCACCATAAGATGGTGTACTGTACACTTTGCCATCGAGTAATAGTTTTAAATTATTGTCTAGGTTTCAGTTCTCTATCAGAGAAATTTTTTAAAAAAAGCATTCTCATGCAAGCCTAAGTTGGTTTATAATATATTTAAAATGTAGTGCTTCCTCTTTGTATGTCTGTTTATGGATATAGTCAAAGGAAATTTGGTGTAGATTTACAAGTATAAAGAGGCCTTATATCTGAAATAGTTTTTAGTTGTAGCATAGGACCTGTATGTGCTGTGGGGCAGTTGCACCAAAGTAGTTGGGACAAAATAAGCTTTGTTCTGCACAGCTTTGTTTTCTTGGGGGTGATAGCAGTCAATGCAGCCAATCTGTTTTTTCACCCAGCGATTATTCCATGATTACCATTATTTCAGAGTGTGTTTGCTTTCACGTCCATCTCTGCATGCAAAGATGCCTGGAAAGTCATTATTTTGGTATCAGCTCTAATCTTCAAGTGTGATCATTGAACTGATTAATACTCACATGCAGGGAACAATAAAATTATCTTAAGGCTCTTAGTGAGAGATGAGCAGTTTTTCTTTGTAGTTTAGTGTACTAACAAATTAGCAGAACTGCTTTTAGGCAACCTCTTGGGCTCCCTTGGGCAGCGAAGCGGCACAGGAAGTTGACAGCCGTGTACCCTGAAATACATGAAACCCGTGTAAAAGAACTTGTCCACCAGATGCACTGCTGCTTTTTAGAAATGCAAAACTAGCACTCCAACATAGCATGTGTCCATTCTGTGTGCTTCTTACTAGCATTGTATGATGAGTCATCATCTTTAATATTTGCACTGGCAAATGGATTAAATGCTCATTAAATATAACCAACATTTTTTTTAATGCTATGAAATAACCAGTTTCATTTCATCTTAGTTTAAGTCTTTTATTTTTTTTCCTTTTTACTGCTGTCATTTTTTGTGCTTGTTTTTTTTCCCCAGTGAGGGTTGTCGGCGAGAAAATACAATGAAGAATGTTGGATGTCGCAAGTATGCGTTTAATTCCCTGCAACTGAAGGCTTTCCCAAAGTATTACAGGCCTCCAGAAGGAACTTATGGAAAAGTTGAAACATAAGCTTACTCTGTCCTTTAATTGCTGTTCCATTAAAACATGTGGATATGCTCTAGATTAATATATGATTTTGTCATCCAGAACAGATAAATAACTTTTTTGTACGTTTTGCTAGATTATCCGGAGCATGTTACTTAAAGAATTGGAATCTATAGTAACAGTTATTCTGACACCTTAGCTTGAGAGTAGTGATGACTCTGCCCAATTAAATAGCCTTCAGTGTATGTAAGATGAACAGATGTTTTACCATTTAATACTTACCTATATGCAAATAGCTAGGTACCTCCTGGATGGCATGGACTTTATGAGTAAATGGCACCTAGGCAGCTGTTTCACATAACATCTTTTATACTGAGTTGACTTGAGATTGAGCTTTTCATAAACTTTTTAAAACCGAGAGTAAAACTCAAAAGTTGTAAATAAAAAGGGATTGGATCCTAGGCAGTCTAATAACTGTAGAATGCATTGTTGCAATCAAGACAGATGTTTAATTAAAAAAAAAAAAGGGCACAATAAAAGCCAGGAGTTTGAAATGTTTTGCTGTATATAGGATACCATCTTCATATACTACCTTAATATATACCTACAAGGCCAGGCATATGAGTTCCTTCTAAACAAAAGACAAAATCCCATGGTTTACAGCAGTGAAAGACCCATCTTCAATGATTTTAAAAAATACTTCCAACACATGACACTTTCTAAGCCATTAATGCCAGCAAAAGTTCCCTCTGCCCTTCCCGACCATAATTAAAGTGCAACAAGCAAGTTGCTGATGTTGCATGTGAAATGTTTAATACGTTTCATGATATTGTACAGTAATTAACCTTTTTTTTGCCTATGGCATTTTATATCACTTCTTTATTGTAAGCATTAATATCTTGGGGATTTTATTTTTTTTCTTGATTGGTGTTTTTAAATTTTTTCAATATCTGGCAATACAAAAATGTTCTAAGTGTCCAACACGTCCCCATTTCCCCATAATAACAAAGAAAATCCCGCTTAGCTCTGCATTTTGCCTTGCCAGACACCGTTCAGAATCATGTATAGGAAACATGACTATTTTCAGAATATTTCTGAGGAAGGTGGCAGTGGCCTATTTTGATACAAAATCACTGCTAATGTGCTAACTGCTGATGTGCGAGAACCTCAGCTGTGTTCAAGCTCATGACTAAGGTGACCAGTTGAGCAAAACGCATTCAACAGACCCCCTTGAAAAGAGTCCCCCAAAGAATGCCTTTGAAGACACAGCTAAATATTAATGTCCAAATTTTACATCTTTACAGCTTAAATCATCCCTTGCTAGTTTAATTCAGCCCACTGTGCTCTTCATTGCTAAGGACATAAGCTTCAGAGTAGACAAATCTGGTTATTTGTTGTTGTGAGAGTAGCAACAGCCAGGTAAGTATACGGCTGTTTCCTGATTTCTTTCTGCCTCTCACTGATGTTTGTCTGTGCTGTCACTGCTCTATCAGTCATGTCCATTCTGCTCCCATGTAGGTTTGGGGGTTTTAAGTACAGTGGTTTTTGCATTTTGCTTTTTGCAGTTTAACACTGAGCAGCAGCATATCACTAAGGCAGGTAAGAGAGTTCTGCTGAACTCGGCTGTTACCTCTGTTTCAGTCTTTTTAGGAGAACCAAACAATTTCTGAACAAAATCAGTGTGTTTCTCGTACTTATACTAGTTGCAAACAAATAATCTACTGTAGAGCAGTCCCTTGGAGACTTGGGAACTCTGCTTCGCAGTTAAGAAAGTACTGGATTGTTTTTTTAACCAATATGTAAAACAAATGTATGGTGGGAGACTTTTTTAAAAGATCTCTTCAGCCAGGTTTGTCCTTCAGTTCTGCTCAACCTTCGTCCCTGGTGCATTATTAAATGCTACATTTATTTTTGTATAAACTGTACTCTTTATATCCCTTAGTTTTTATGAGTTGATAATTTTATTTTGTATATTTCAAACAGATAGTTAACTATATATTTTAAATCTTATATTGTTACACTAAAAATCTTCTTCCAGTCTTCACCTTCAGAAGAGAATAACATGAGGTCTGTCGTAACAATTAGCAGAGCCGCTCTAATAACGTGGCCAGCGACCATTAGATCCACTCTAGAGCTTGGAGATCCTTTATTTATTGCAATCAGGAAAAGTTCCCGAGCTGCGTATGTGCATGGTGCTTGCTCACCTTTTTAAACGGTGGAATATCAGTCTCAAGTAACTGCATTATTTTGTTTAAACTACTCTGCTTTCAGTATACTTACATGTAAAGCATCACTGCTCAGCTGACATTTTCTGTATTCAGCGTGGTCAGTACGTGCACATCGAGGGGCTTGTTTTAAGGGTGTAACAAACAGTAAGATCTTGAGCAGTTCGTCAGAAGAAGAAAAACTGTGAAACTTTGAATCCATATAGGAAACTTCACCAGGGTGAAGTAAGCTTTATTGTTGCACAGGAGAGGCAAATTTAAAGATCCTTAAGGATTTAAGGATTAAGGATTATTTAAGGATTACTGTAAAATGAAGTTCTGTCTAATGTTCTTTTTGAGTACATTTTTTAAATTATAAAACATACAAAGGTAAAAAAAGAAAACTGTTGCCAAGTATGTTCTGTGTATGTTCTGTGAAAGTACCTACAGCACAGTTGCCTTTTGTTTCATTTATACATGTAAAATTATTGTATAATACAACACTGTTTTGTCCCAACACAATTGTATTTGCCAAGCTTTGTGCATTGAAATATTTTTATTTATTTGGTTTCGGGCAGTATTAATATATCATAAACATATGGCTACTGTTTTATATATTCCTAGTTCATCCACTCCATGTATGCTGTAAATGTGCTAGTCTTTAGGATGAAAACCAATAAAGAACTGACAAGAATACCAGAATGGTGACTTATTTTTCATGCATTTGTGGTAAATACACTCGACTCTCTTCAGGTTCCTTGACTTACACGATGCATTTTATCCCTTGGAGAAAACATTACATCTTGTATGGGAATATTTTACATAGCTCTGCTTGTCAGGAAGTAGTTACTGCCTTGGAAAACCCTGCTAAAGGGTTTTCTCTGTAGTTAAGTTGGGCACTGGTGTGTCCATGTGCTGCTGTACATACTGGCCTGAGGGCCTCCAGCTGGGAGCTGGCTCTATGAATGAGCTTTTCTTGTTACGTGGAAAGAAAAGCAGTACAAGGAAAAGGACCCCATCAATTTCATTCAAAAATGCAAAAAGAAAGTACACTGGACAGGTAGGCACTCCTAAATGGTGAGCAAAATATGTATGTACATGCCTATGTATTTGTCTTCCCAAACCTGCTTAACTGATATCAAAATAGGATCTGCCTGTGTTGTTTTTAATTAAAAAAGGCAGAAATACCAATTTAGATTTTGTAGTAGTACTCAATGAAGTGAGGATTTGTGACTCTTGAGAATTGAACTGTAATTCTCCATTGCCATGCATTTTATTAAGTGGTGTTTTTAACTCGAGTGATATTGATTAGTGCTTCACTTGCCATAAATTGTCAGGTGTGTGTATATATATACACACACATATACATTTACTCCATGTTGCTAATGCAACCGCTGTGATTGCAAAAACTGAAATCTTGAGATGTTTATCATAAATGGCAAAGTAACTCCTAAGGATAATAAGGGTTAGTTACACATGAACAAGCAACTTTGTATCCCTTTTGGGGATAAATTCATCATTAATATTTGTATTGGAATACACCAGTAAATACTAAAAAGCCAGAAGAGCTGTGTATTTTGTACAAATACAGTTCAGTTTCAAGCAGCTGGTCAACAAGAGATTAAAGCCTTAAGGACTTTGCCTGACGTTTGGTGACTGAAGAGATGTAATGTTTTAAGATTTCACTTCCTTTACAGGCATTTTTAATACCCTACTGGTGATGTGGCAAAGAGAATGTGTTCCTGTGCCCCCCTACTTTCTTAACATATAAATTTTGTGAGCTAATGCCTGTTGAAAGGTGATCAAAAGATGGTGTAAATCTTAACACGTGAGCTATTGGAAAAATCATTTGAGCCCAGTGTCGCTTGTTTCAAGCTGCATACACACATCTTCTGTGAAGATTATTCCCATCAAAAAACACTACTATTATGAACCAAAGTAGCCTGAGGATCTGTGGCAACATGAGGGGCGCACACACTTCCTAGGGAGTAAATAATGCTTGTTCTGGTGAGGAACCAGAAGTGGTTCCAGCTGTTGGCTATGACTTTTACACAGACACGAAGCTATGGTGGGGCCTTCTGTGGTGGGGGTGTTACCTATGCTCAGAAAGACCTGCCTCGTGTTGCAAACACAACTTCCGAAAGTTTAAAACATGTTTTTGACAAGGGAGAGGGAATTTTAATAGGTGCAGCATAAAACTGATATGATAGAAATGTTTAGGAATGTATGAACTGAAAAAGCCTACTCTCAGTCATCAAATTAGGTGCAAAGTCTTCTCATGAGCACTCTTTTCTCTTTTTTTCCCCTAATTTAAGCAAGTGACTTTCTGTTTCTCCTCATCTTTTGTTTCTAAGTCCCACCTTAGGAATTCCATATTTATTGAGCTTTGTAGAATGCCTGTGAGCTTACTTAAAACTACTCTCCTAATGAATGTTTTGCAAGCAAATTTCAAGGTGTGAATGGCAGAGCCGAGTTTAACAGTCCCTCTTTTTTCTGCAAATTATTTTAAATGTCAGGCAAACTTCTTGTTTCCAAATATATTACATCCCCTATATGAGCAGCTCTAGTGTCACAGTGATCAGCAGAGCTTTGGCCTACTTCATTTAGCAGTGTCCAACACGACCAGTGGATGGCATGAAAATACAGATTTTGAGACTAGCGACTAGTGTTTTTGAGGCTTGTTGTCATCCATCTTTTTATTTTGTTACATGCCACCAATATTAAATTTTCCACTGTTTGCCATCCTGGCCTTGTGGTTTCTGACATTTTCTGTATTCTGCACAGCCTCCAGCATCAAGTTTTAATTTTTGTGGTGACTATCATATTTGTCTGTACATCACTCTCCTGAATGCAAAGTTCTGCAAACCTGTATCTTCTTCCAGTGTGCATTCCTTAATATAATTCGTTATGAAGTTTCAGTCCTTGCAAAAGAATATTTATGTTTGAGATGAGATGTGCTGTTTGAGATGTGCTGTTTATTACTTATGTGTATCATTTAAGTACTTCACTTATTCGCCATTCTTAAGGGAGCGAGGGAAGAGCCTTTGCAGTGTCTGCAATGGACTAATACTTACATACTTAAGTATATAATAGCATTTGGAAAGGGCTCCCATAACCCCAGATCACTTGGAATCAGTCACTGCCCATTAGGTTCGCTAAGCATTTAATTATTCATAAAGTCTAAAAGTTCAAGGAATTTATATAGAGAAGACCCC